TCTGAAGGAGGAGAAGATAGAACTGATCTGCATTTGCTAGCTTTGATTTCTCTTCTTTGAAGGCCTTCAGGTTTTCTATCTAATGAGAAATAAAGAATCAAGACTGCAGGGCTGCTCTATGTGTTCAGCTTTGTGAACCTAGAGTAGTGTTTTCCTCCTGACCTCATGCTTTTCAGGCAGCAGCTTCAGCAACTGCTTCAGAACCTCAACATCAAACTTGGTCCGGTCCCCATTCTGGATCATGGCAGTCACCTCTTCATTGGAGCTGCAGGGAGGAGGAGCAGAGTCAGCCATCAACCAAAGACCACTTTTCAACTATCACACACTACCAAGAGATTTATCTGTGTAAGCACTCTGCTTTCCCTAGTAAAGAGTCACAATAATCCAAAAGGAAAGGTATCTCCCCACAGTTAAGCTAGAATCAGGACCCAGATCCCTGCTATCACCCAAATCTTATTTCTGACCCTGATCAAATGACTCAAGGCCAGAGATGAATCCTACAACTGAGATCCTGTCTTTTTTTATCTTAAAAGAAAATGGAACTCTTCATTTGTCCACTGGCCCTGATTTGAGGAGGGATTTTACCTCCAGGTGTGTGTCATAGTCTATGTCACCCTAAGAGTCTGTGCCCCAACTTCATCTGAAAATGGAGATGTAACTCCTTTGCCAACATAAGGGAAAGTTGTATGTAAAAACATAAACCCCTAAACTCAGTATTTTAAGGACAGTGTAGGAAAAAATGTGCAATGTTTACTAGCATAGACCATCAAAGCACATTGGCTAGAACAGATTTCCTGAGGACCTTCCAGATACTGCAAAACCTGCCCAAAGTTTTGTCAACTGTCACGAAAACTGGCCATATCTTACCATTTAAACTGCTTCAAAAATATGTTCAAATTGAGACTTTTCTTGGAGTCCAAAAATGTGATCTTCATTAAAGAAAAAGAAGATATCTCATATTAGATGAGCTGTCTGCAGGGATCTTTACTCGGAAAAACGAGGGGGTCTCCTCACCTCCTTCGGCTCTGCCTTCACTGGTGCTGCTGCCTTCTCCTTGGGGGCTGGCTGTGGGAAGCAGAACAGCTGCTCGATGCTGCTGTAGTTGGGCTCTATCGTTTCCTCGCCGCTGCTGCTCACAGAAGCCCACATTGAGTGGCTCTCTGCAAGAAAGAAAAAGTGTTCAGATTGGCTGCAGGCACAGCTGAAAGCTCCTGCTGCCTGGGACAAGGTGAGCTGCCAGCAGGGACACTCTTCAGGACATGAATGAAATAAGAAACATATTAGTCCTGGATAAATGGTCATTACTGAGGAGGGGCAAGTGCCACAGGTGGGATCCAAAGGGGCTGAAGGGCAATTAAACCTGCTAGGAGGACGCAGCACTGGGCACACAGAGGCTGTACTGCCCCATCCCTCCCTGTAAAACTGTGTTTTCCTCCATGATGGGCAAACTGGATCAGCATGACAAGGACCTCAGACATTTTGTTTCTAGTTCCCTGGTTGATATATTTTTTGCTCCCTTGCATCCTAACAGAGGGACTGGGCACAATTTGGACATTTTCTGACTGTGTCCTTCTCAATTTTTCATTTTTATGCTCAAGCCTCCTGGCTACAGGACTGCTTGAATTAACTTCTACTTAAATTTCTTATATCTTAAAAAAGAAATCACACTAACATGCCTGTAGAAGCCTCTACTGAAATAATCCAAACATTTTACTGCTCTTGTGATTGCAGACATGCCTTATTTAGATTTCACCTCTGCCTACTTTCATGCCTTGCTTGTCTAGGACAAAGCTGACACAGCTTGTCAAAGTTTCTTCTCACATTTCATGTTCCACTTTGAATCTACTAGTAGAGGGAAATGTAACCCAAAAATCAAGAGAGATGTGATGTGATCCTCACATGCACTCTTAATCATGACTTTAATACACCCAGATACAAGCATAATTGAGCTGGGTAATAAAAATTTGGGGAACTCAGATCACAGCTGGATCTAAGGCATGTCATAGTGAACAGGAAAACATTCCCCTCCCTTTCTCTTGTTTTAAGTTCAAAGTATTTTAGTAATAAACAAGCTATTCCAAAGTACTAATTCAGTTGGAATAGCTACTATTACATTGGTAGTTTCATGTTACTTTTATATCAGCTTTGTAAACAGAGCCAACCACATCTGACAAACTTTAAGATAGTATTTCTTCCCCTGGGAAGCAAAAGCAGCCATGTAAAGCACCCCTAAAGCAGCTTTAGTGACTATGCCAGAAGCACCCACCTCTCACCACGTTGGAGGGCAGCTTCTGCCAGTTCAGCTTCTTCATTCTCAGCGTTGGTGTCTTCACTGTCTTGTGGGGAGGCCTGCCCAAGCCCAGGGGGCAGCTGAACTGGGAGGCCACCACGGCTTCTATGTAATCTCCTGCCATGCCAGGAAGGAGGGGTGGAGGAGGAGGGATGCCACCCATGCCAGGCAACGGAGGTGGAGGGGGTGGGATACCAACCATGCCAGGCAGTGGGGGTGGAGGAGGAGGGATACCACCCATGCCAGGCAGTGGGGGTGGAGGAGGAGGGATACCACCCATGCCAGGTAATGGAGGTGGAGGTGGAGGGATACCCCCCATGCCAGGCAATGGTGGAGGAGGAGGAGGAGGAGGAGGAGGAGGAGGAATACCCATGCCAGGCAATGGGGGTGGAGGGGGAGGAATGCCAGGGAGTGGAGGGGCTGGAGGTGCATTTGTCAGGGGGGATGTGGGGGTCATGGCTGCTGTGCCAGAGGGTAGAGGTGGTGGGGCTGGAGGTGCCGGGTTGGGAGCAGTGTTGGAGGGAGGGTTGGATTTCTCTGGCAGGGCACAGCAGGCTGTGAACTGGCAGGATGAGATCTTTTCGTTGTCCAGTGGCCCTGAGGATGTTGCTGGTGCCCTGGTGGGGTTTGATGATCCCGCTGGACACCGAGCTGCACGTGCACACGGCTCTGGTTCAGCCTGGACAGCTCCAGCTGCGCTCCCAGACAGGCGGTTCTCAGCTCGCTTTTGCTTGTTTGGATGTTTTTTGATAGACAGCAGCCTCTCAATGACTTCTTCAACTGTGTTCCCTTGGACTGGAGAAACGAGTCAGGGTCAGGGAAGGGAACGAGATCCACAGGCTGCTTCATGCTATTCAACCCTCACCAAGCAGTAGATCTGGAGCCATGGCGAGTCCATTTCCTGGTGTCACTTTACACAGTTACACTTTTCACTTCTAGGCAATTTCCTTCCTATGTGCCCAGCCCACAAACACTTCATAGTGTGCCTGCCAACAAGACAGGTCAGCACCAGTGGCAGGATGCCAGTGAGGACAGATTCCCACTGACTCCCATGAGCCAAAGCTCAGGGATTTACCATTAAAAGAAGACTGGGAATCCCAAACTACTGCTAATGTGGCCATCCACATGGATGAACCTTCACTTGACCTTATACAGAAGGCAGAGCTTTGTCTCACTTCTGTTCACCTTTCACCAAGTCCCACAGATTATTTCCTGCACATTGGGGGAAAGACTTTTATGGGACAAGGGAAAACAAGAGGAGTGTGCAAGGCTGGATGGATACGTCATTCTTACTGTCATTGGCGAGTAAAAGGGCTCTGTTCACTACGGCATCCAAGGACTCCCAGAGCAGGAGGCTGGAGTGATGAGAGGGCTCCAGGTGCAGCAGGCTCTGCAGGATGGACAGCAGCTGGACAGAGACTGGAGAGCGGCTCACCTGGAAGACAGAGCAGCTTCTGTCACAGCAAGGCTGGCTCCCAGCAAAGTTTAAAAAAAAATTAACTTGGCCATTGTGGGGCCTCACACCCCATGTGAGGGGCGACTTACTTTGTTGAAGAGAGATGAAAAGACCTCATGATGATCATTCATGTTTATGCCATCACATATCCTTAATAATTCCTCATCATCCTCTATTTTGAACTCCTCAAATGTGTCACACTGGATAAGCAGATCCTCCTCCTCGATGTCTCTGCAATATTATAGCATTTGTTTTCATTGGAGAGCCCTTCACTAATTTTCAGATTACTGTTTTTGTTAAGTGGCTTTTATCTCTTTGCCTCTTGGACTCAGCCAGTTGGTGTTGAAAGTACCCAGCTCTGCATGATTTATAAAGGATGAGATGTCACCAGTGCATCCCTTCCTGAACAGAATGTACCTCTTCCTACAATCAATACATACAAAGGAATGAGACTTCTCATGGCATAACTTGGCCCAGCACAGGCTTGCTATGGAATTCTCCTTGGAGCTGTAACATCAGAGTGGCATTCTGACCCTTTTGCAACCAGGCTGCCACCTTCATTTTTTTAAAGTCAAGACTAATGGAAAATATTTCAGTGATGTTTTTTTTTAAAAGCCTCCTTCTCTGTTATTCAAAACTGGATTTTAAAAAGCACAGACACTGTAAATCTGACTTTTTCAGTACTCTCAAGACCACACAGTGTTAGAATTTTACAGCTTCTGCTCTAATAAAATATTTTCTCTTCCCTAATTTTTTATGGTGTTGGATTGAGCAATTCCAGTTACATGAATAAATGCAACTCACATAAACTGCATTTTAGAATTTATCACAGATGTTTCTGATAGAACATAATTTTTAAATTACATTCAGATATACATTAGTAAATTGTTTTAGCTGGATGCTTTTGGGACCAACAGCAGCAGTGGTGTTGAACACAGCAAGCTGCTCAGTGAACCCACAGCACTGCTTCAGATTCAGTCTGAAGCAGCCTCAATGAGGACATTGCTGCTCCATCTGTGCCCAGAGCTCTGTGCATGCCATCTGTGCCAACAGCTGTCCCTGTGACACTGTGGTTGGCAAGAGCATCTCAACACTGGCCAAGTGCCTCTAGCTCCCATGGAATGGGTGCACACAGGCATGGTCCACTCCACCCAAGAACACTGCACTTCACACAACAGAAGGTTGGGTAAGTATTAAGTTTCCAAAGCTACTTCACTGTGAATCTAATTTTAAAGAAAATTTAAGTAGAGACCCTTACCTTAGCTTGTCTAAAACATCCAACAGCTGAAGCCCTGGTAGGTGTAAAAAAAAATATATAGTTGCATTATGGCCCACTTAGTACTTATTTGTTATGATCTTTATATATGTTATGCTCATAAAAACTTTTTGTAGAGAGAAAAAGTGAAAATATCTTCAGATGGATCTATCAAAATGGGTAGAGTCATCTGGTAAATGATGAGACACCATATCTGCAGCACCTGTGTGAACCACTGCACAATCCCCCTGGGGTTACTGAGTGACACGGGCACTTTTGAGGCATGTGACCTCAGCCCAAATTAGATATTTAAAATCAGTCTGATACCATCAAATGTCCCTTGATCTCCATGGAGAGAAATGGAGCCCAGGCTCATCAACTCAGATGCACCCAGCATGTGAGGTGAATCCCAACAATGGTAGCTAGGAGCCTGGGATTCTAGCAGCTGGAAAGTTCTGAACCATGGGAAAGCCTCTGTGGCTCAACTGAGTAGACACAGAGTGAAGAAATTTTATCAACTCTTACAAGTAGTTGCAATATATAGAGATGTGATGGTTGGTTATAGAAATGCTCTGAAGAAGCTCAAGTGATACAGTGCTGCTGGGATTCCAGAAAAGATCAAAGCTATGGAAAAGCAGCAAAGTAAAAAAAAAAATCTGTTGACAGAAAGGCTGTTGATAATAAAGGTCAAAACACAGAAGAAAATTAGTATTTGCAGTTTTGCTCCCCAGCCTCTCCAGACACCTTATGGATACATCTGAAAAAACCCCATTTGGTCACTGACTTTCTCCAGGGAAGGGTGTAACAAACATCCTTACCTATGAACTCATTCCTGATTTGTGTCCTCGTTCTCAGCTCTTCTTTCCCCAGGATGATGGCATTGATAGCACTCAGCAGTGTCACCATGTATGGCACGTTGTCTGTGTTGGACAGCTCGTTCATTATGATGCTGAATCGATACTGCTGGTTCTTCACACTCTGTGGGTAACACAACTGATACTATCACAAGGATGGTCTATATAGACCTAAATCCCATGACTGTGGGGCAGGCTCTCAGATGGAATTAGCATTTGGAATCCTCAGTTTATTCCACTGTCCACAGGACACGAAGACATGGGTAAAAGCAGCACTCCTGCATTATGGAGCAGGGGCTGGCTGGCACAGAAAGTCCTTGGAAACACCTCCTGGATCCCTTTCTGCTTTCTGGTAACTGATGCATGTACCTGAGCTCGTGGGCAGTGAAACCTGTGGATGTGGCACCATTTATTCTGGTGATCTGGTGGTGCTTTTGCTGCCAGAAAGCACCTTGTGGTTGGCAGTCATCTGTCCACACGAGTCACAGAACAGCACTGCAGACCTACACTGACCACGAAAAAATTCCTACAGCTTTCACCTTATAAACCCCTACTTCTCTTACCAAAACAATGGTACCCCTATTTTCTGTTACCAAAATAAACTTTATTTCCACCCTTTTCTGTGGTACATGGATGTGTCTGCATGGATCAAAGCCGAGCCATTCCTCCTACTCCAACCAAACACTTGCCTTGTAATGGTCCAAAGCATCCAGAGCCAAAGAGTGGCCATCTGATGAGTAAATGCACAGTGCAGCCAGGAGCTCAAATATTTGCTTTTTGACCATGACATTAGTTGTGTCAAGTGCTGTAGGAAAAACAGAACAAAACAAAGCAGAATTTATATTGACATTAATATTCTGAATCTCAGTGTCTTCTGCTACACGAATTATGAGCAGTAGTAGAAAAGAGACTGAAAGAGGGGATGCATTACAGTGGAAGATAGGAAGAGAAATATCTTAATGTACAGATATCTCATCCCAATAGCATTATGTGATGGTAAATTCTAGTGGGAACAGTAAATGCTACAGGTATCCCATTGGCATTTTGGTGCAGCTTGTAGTTATTAATCTTTTCCATGTCCCAGCGACATGCTGCAACAACAGCCAAGATTTTTCAGCACTCACAAAATTTATTTCCCATTTTCACATATGGCTATCTTCTAGAACAGCAGATAAACAATTTTCTTTGATTAATGACTCTTATTTTTTGTGCAGAAAAGCTCAATATGCATATGAGTTAGAGCAATTGTTCCAAGGGGTCCCATGCATTCCCTTTTCGCATTTCTCTTTCTCTGTGAGCCCTGGGAGCTGTTGTGTTTTTCCTATATTAGAGCACAAAGAAGCTCCAACACTGAAAATCCAGGATACCCCCCTGTTTTCACAGTACAAAAATGCCAGGTTCATATTTTATATAAGGTAAGAAAACACAGGCTGAAGAGGAAAGAAGGGGACTTCAAAACTGAAGAGGGAAGCAAGTCAGCTTTCAGACTAAATGCATTTTCAAAAGCTATTAATAATGGTTTCTGGGTACAGAAGTTATTCTTCCAGCACCATTAAGTGCTGTATAATAAGTCCTACATAAGATCCCTGATGAATTTCAAAGCTAACAATGAGCCAAGTGAATGGCAGGAGAATGTAAGTGGTGTTACCCACAATGTTGCAAGAGGAGCAGAGTGAGCAGCACAGAGAGCAGGCTCTCTTGAATGCAAACATGCCACTTTCCCTCCTCTTTACAGGCTACAAGACTTTAAGCCCTTTCAGTTCCTTTCCTCTGCCCTTGGGGCTCTCGAAGACTGAATAGCAAATGTCTGCTGACAAGCAAAGGGTTGAAGATTTCTCATGCCTGTATACAGATAAGGCTGGGCTTATTACCAGCTTCTCAGTAAACTATGACAATAATTGTGTGGAAACAGCACTGGGTGGCAAAGGCAATGTGATTTCATAGCAGTTTTATTTTAAAGAAGAAAATCATCTCATTAATCACTTGTGACCAACCATTTCCAACTAGCCTGGTGCAGGGCAGGAGGATAAGCAACAGGAAAATGCCCCCCTCCCAGTGCTGCATGTGATGGATGAAGCAGGAAGGCGTCTCCTCACCTTGGAAGAGTTTTCTGACGTAGCCCTCGTTGCTCACAATGTATTCTATGCCTTTGTGGGAGTTCATGACCGCTCGCACACAGCTAATGCAGGTGAGCTGAAGCAAGGCATCGGATATCCTGGCCACTCCTCGCCCTGACAGCCTGTCCAGGGCCTCCAGGAGGAGATCCAGCCCGGACAGCTCCAGGAACTGAACCATCCAGGCATCGTCGCTGTTCTCCAGCCTCTTCCTCAGCCCAGAGTAGTTCACCACTGAGGGCATTTGCAGGAGGCGGATGCACAGCTCTGGCTCTGCATTTTCCAGGTTGGCCTCTGACTGGTCGGTCTCCTGGGGTCCGAGTTTCTCCTTCAGGGCAGCCCACTTCTTGTGGGCACCTTCCTTTTTGGCTGACATTGTGACTGGCTTGTTCTGAAAGAAAAGACAAAGTGAGAAGTTTGTCTGGAATACCAAAATTGATCCAGTAGACTTGCTTTTTATCCAGTAATTGGAATGTAAATCCCAACTACAGCAGGTCCCAGCTCTCCAGCATGTAGGGCATACACTGGAACCAGTCCTGTGTTGCAGAAACTCACTATATCCCCACTTCAACCACACACATTACATTCAGCCTCTCAAGACTCTGTGGAGAGACTTTTAGCACATCCAGGCCAGCAAATACAGCTTTAAAAGTAGCCAATTTGCAGCAGTCAATTGCCACTACCTATTTTCATGCAGTGAAAGGAAAAGGTTGGAAGCAGCATTATCAGCTCTGATCTCCTAATGCCCATTAAACCACTTCAAAATCTCACTGTGCTGGAGAGGCTGTGCAGTTTCTAAGAATTTGTAATGGGATGGAGAAATCATTTTGAGCATATCCTGCACATAAGAGCATCTGATTGCCGTGTTCCTTTTTCACTTTGTTTTCTTGGGACTGATGTTGAGGTTGATTTTATAGCACTCAATCCCTTCCTGCCTGCTGCAATTGCAAATATGTTTGTACACATGGTGTTTATGCCTGATAGTGTGAGAGCCTGACAGGCTGTGAGTGCAGGTACAGCAGCAGGAGGCTGGCTACAAAATCAGCAGAGCACTTTTCTGGAGATGGGGAGCGATGGCCTGCCCCCCTGGAGAACATGGCCTGTCCAGCCAGGCCATCAGCAGCAAGGAAGGCCAGGAACTGATTCAGCACAGAGAAACTGCAAAGCCAAGTGTAACTCTTGGTGCCAGATTTTATGGTTTTAGGCAGGAGGGATCAAGTCATACAATGCAGGTCCTTTTCAAAGCTGCATGCAATGGCTCTGGCCACTGAGATTAGCTCAGTTGGTCACAGCACCATGCTAATAATGCCAAGGCTGTGGATTTGATCCCCATATAGGCTGTTCACTTAAGAGTTGGATTTGATGATCCTTGTGGGTCCCTTCCAACTCAGAATATTCTATGAATCTGTGATTCTGTTTTAAAGCTGAATTACTCCCACAGATGACAGGTTGCCCCACAGAAATTGATGCTACCATCCTACCACACCACCAATACCTCTGTTCCCCATGGCTGCTCAGCCTGCAAAGAGCTCAAAATATCCTGGGGCCAGTTGGCCCCAAAACTCAGCACTTAGGGGACTGAAGAGATTATAGGAGACTCTTATTTTCCCTCCATAGCTCAAGCACAAGGCTTTCTAGGCCAACAATGACTAGAAAAAAATGCTTGAAATATCTAAACTAAGTAATCTCCAGAAGGTTGTTTTGTTTTTTTTTTTTTCCCCAAAAACCTAAGATAAAGGATGGACCCTTTACACTGGTTGGAAAAAAATCTCATTTTAAAGCCTGCTTGTGATTTTTCCTGGAGACTGTGCCATTGAGAAAGGTCCTGGCTCCTTCCCTGCAGCAGAGCTGCATGGCTTCTGTTTTACCCAAAGAATCATTCTGGCAATCTCCCCTTGGCAAATATACAGCCAAAAAATTTGCTCACTGATTAGTGACAGGCATGATATTATAGGCCTAAATATGCCTCTTGGAAAGATGCAAAGTGTGATGGGGTAGGACACCTGAAAAATTTCTCTGAGAAAATGTGATGGTGGGACTTTCTGGCAGGTCACAGCATCAAAGTCTGCACTCAGAGGTCAAAGGGGTGGAAGAGTTAGCAGGGTTTGGTGACAGAAAATCCATTTCGAGAGCTCTGGAGAAACTCTCTTGCAGAGTTTTCTTTTGCTTCAGTGGGAAAGAAGCTGGCCAAGCACCCAGTTGCTCCCTGTTCTGTTAACTGAAAAAATGATGGTCACGATCCAAAAACATGAAGTGGCAAATATACCATCTGAGAACACACTGTACAGCTGAAAAGTGATAAAAAGGACCATAAAAAAACCAACCAAACCAATCCCCAAACAAACCTCCCTGCCAAAGCACAGGCTTGAGTTTCCAAGATTTGTCATCACTCCCTGCAGTCCAGAGCCCTTACTCACTCTTGGTAAAATTCTTTTTGGGATTAGTCAACTCCAGTCCCACCCCTGTATTCAAGCCCAGGAATCTGGGTTAGGCTTGATGCAAAGAAGAGAAATCCTTCCTCACTGGAGGGAGAGAAGCAAAAGTTTAAAGCCCCAGGTTCACAGCCCTGGGGATGGAGCAGCATCCTACACCTCTCACCAGTCATGAGGACTGCAAATCTACACTCAAGGGGCTGGAGAGGTCCACCTGCAGTCAAATTCTCCTCCAGGCTGTGCATGGAGCCCAGCCATCTCTTTCCAGAACTGGGGTCAAGCTGGACCTCCAGTGTAGGGCAGTACTGAGGACCATCTGACCTGGGTGCTGGTCAGCCCGTGGGGCTGCAGAAGCATCTGCCAACTGCAAGCTCCTCTTCTCTTGTGTGACTTCTTTTTATACTCAGCAAATCACTTTTTTCATTTGAACATGAATAAACATTTCTTATCCAGCCAGATAACAAGACAGGCTGACTTTTTTCTCCCAGATGTATGAATGCCTCATTAATTGTATTTGTATGATACTGTATCAGCTACAGCAAGTCAGTGAAATTACAACAGCGTTATTGACCTCAGGCTTAGCTGATTCCTGAAAATTAAGCTTCACCAGTGCAACAGGAGACAGGAAATACTGAGAGAGCATCCTGTTTACCAGCAGATTTGTTCTGAATTATCCTTCCCTCCCACCTGCTCTGCACAGATGTGAAGAGATGAGAAAGAGAACCGGGAAGCACCTCTCCAAACAGTCCTGGCTTGTGTTTTTATGCACCAAAATGAACAAATTGGATTGGTTAAATATTCTTCCCAACAGAGAGCACACCCTTTTTGTAGGAAAGCATAAAGGTAGCTAATGTATCTAATTGTAAAAAGGGAATAAAATAAACAGGAGCTGCATGATATAAATGGAAAGGAAATGAATATGGAGATGGCAATACGACTTTGCAGATGGTGTGATAAATCTGTTTACAAACACAGATGAGAGTGATATATTGTGAATGCAACATCTTTCCATATTTTCCACAAAGCAAAGTGTTGCAAAGATGTTCAGATACATCCTTAAAGGGCTGCTGGTTTTGCCTTTTATCTCTGCCCACAGGAGCTTGTTAGCAGGTAAATGATCTCAGCAGAGTGAGACAGACAAGGATTGAAATGGAACACATCTATCTGGCTGGCTCACAGAGGATATTTAGACTGTGTTGGCCAAGGGAAGGAAAGTGTCCTGACAAAACCAGACAGGACTGCTGAATACACCTCACCTTTTGCCAGAAGAAGGGGTGCTTTGCTTTTGGTTTCCCAGGGCAGAGAGGGGGCTGTGGTGATGGAAGCAGTGTCCCCAGTGCCTGTGTCTGACCGTGCCTGCAGCACCCACGCTCTGCCTCCCCAGCTGCCTGCTCAGCACTGGGGCTGGGTGCTGCTCCCTGGGGCACAGCCTGACAGCGTGTCTGTGCTTGCTGCTGTGGGGACACTCACAGCCACAGCAAAGAGTCACAGAGTACTTTAGATTAGATTAAAAACCTTTAAGATCATTGACTCCAACCATTAACCCAGCACTGCCAAGCCCACCACTAAACCACGTTCCCAAGTGCCACATCTACGTTCCTTAAATACAACCCTCTCCTCATCTTCTTACCCTCAGAAGCTGTTTGGCCCTGATGGGGAATCACAGAATGTTAAGGGGTTAGAATGCACCCTAAAGATCACCTAGTCCCATTCCTCCTCCCATGGGCAGGGACATCTCCCACCAGACCAGGCTGCTCAAAGCCCCATCCAGCCTGGCCTGGATGCCAGGGCTGTGGCATCCACGACCTCTCTGGGCAACCTGTGACAGTGTCTAGCTACCCTCACAGTAAAAAAGTTTCCCCTCTTTGAATCTGCACTTGTTACTCCTTGTCCTGTCAGTACAGTTCCTGATAGAGAGTCTCTCTCTGGCTTCCCTGTAGGCCCCCTGCACATACTGGAAGGTTGCTGCAAGGTCTAAATGAGCATCAGTGTAAAAGTACTCTTAATTTTAGGAGGTTCCTTTGGGAAACATAAAGATATCCTGAGAGCTTGTGTTCTTGCACATGGCAACAGCAACATCACAATTCATGGTGCCAACTCTTTGGATCACTGCGTTTGTAGAGTTATAATGTTCCCTGCATCCGTCCAACCTGGTCTGTAAAATTTTCTCCTCCTTTCTTTCTAAATCAGGTGCTTCCCAGATTCAGTTTTCTGTGCCTCTCTGTCCTTCAAGTCCACTCCTAGGGAGATGACATCTGTGGGAGATAAATCAGGGTACATCAATACTTCCTCCATCCTGTGAAGCTGTGGAGAACAGAGCTGCACAGCACAGCTTTCAGTCTAAATTATTACATGCCTCCAGGATGACACGGATCACAGCAAGGACTGGGGAGGACATGTAAAAAGAGATTTCTCAGGGCAGCTAAGCATAATTGAGTGAAAACAAAAGGGAGGAAAACTACAGGTCAAAACTATCCTGATTTTTTGGGGATCAGATCCATTGCCTATGTAGAAGAATAGGACTTGGGGGCTGGTGTGTGTAAGGGGGAACAGCAGCTCCTTGCTGCCCTTTGAAGAACTCTGGGAGCATCCCAATCCCACATGCTGCCCTCACAGCCCTCTGCCCCCCTCCACAAGACTGCCAGGGTGAGAAAAGCTCCTTTATGCTGCTCAGTCCTGCCTCCCTTCCATGCCTGTTCCTGGCACTCAGGAGCCTGTTCTGCCTGGCTGACTGCTAATGACAGGTTTCACTTCTGGGGAGCTCCAGTTTTCCCTCTGCTGCTGGGAATATGCCAAGCCTTTGTATTTTGCAACATGTCAGACTACTCAGTCCCTAAAAAGAAACAACATCCTGGCTTTGTGCTTTCCAAAATCACTTCTGGAAGTGTGATGTGCTTCCTTCACCTCACGTTTTGCTTTCATTTGTGCTGTTGTTTTCCTGTGCAGCGTCGGAAGAGCT